AGGATTATTTAGATTTGATTTACCACGTGCTTGGTGGTTAAGAAATTTATCTTGAAGAAAACTACATTTAAAAAAAATTAAAGTACATAAAATGTAACGAGTCCGTCAACACGCAGTAGGACAGAGGGTTGTCTGACCAATCTACTACTACTATATACTTGAAAATCCCCACTCAGAAATGTAAAGATGTCTGTGTCCAGCAGTGGCACGTATATAGACTGTTGCAATACTATTATACTTTTATTGAAGGAAAATTCACTTTTAGCATTTTAAAAGTGTGCCTTTTAAATAAAGTGAAAATTGAATCTTCTGAATTACCAAATAGTTTAATGCTGCAAGTTCCACCAAATTTATTCCCGATTCGTACATATGTATCCCGAAAATTACATAGCTCCTAAAAGATAGCGCGATGGTTTATATTTATTTGAACGGTACGACCCTATCTGTAGCACTATAGTTACAGATAGGTTGGATGGACAGAGAGGCAGAGAGGCAGACAGATAAAGTTTCAAAAAGTTGAAGTTTTGTCATCTGTATCTATATTATATATAGTACGTATCTGTATAGAGAGTACGCCTTTATTTTAGCCTTTATTTTATTGTCCTTTTATTTTAGAGGGTTATATAAGCTCCTACGTTCTAAGTCCTACCTTGCCTAGTGCTCCGCTGATACTAGTTGACGTACTTCATGTGTACCCAATTTTTATTAATTTGCATTATTTCATAGCTGTTTGTTTATTTACCGTAAAACACTTCGTAAGTCAGCATTTAAAATTCATCATTATCATCATTACAGCCATTCACACGTTAATTGCTGAATAAAGGCCTCCCTTAAGGAATACCACACAACACTGTCCTGAACCACCAGCATCCATCGATTTTCTGCATTTCTTACCACGTCGTCACTCCATCTAGTAGGGGGCCACCCTACACTTCGCTTCGGTTATTGGTTCTTCGGACTATATGGTCGGTCCATTGCTACTTCAGCTTTCTAATCCATTTGGCATTTAAAGTGACAATTAACACTTTAATTAATTACAAAACTAGCAATCAAGTTCTGGTTCTTTGGTTGAAAAATTAAAAGCGAGCGTTCTACGTCTGAGCCTTCATGATAGTAAGTATATTTTCTCATAAAAGGACATATTTTTAATAAGATACAATATTATACTAATGATATGTAAATGCACTTTCTAGTTGTTATTAGAGAGATGCAGCTGCCCATCTCCTGGTTTGTTTTACCCTGACACCCGACACACACGGGACGATATGGGTTGGCGTATGTTATTGCTTACTAGAAAATAAAAAACTGCGTTTTTTATTTATAACGTGCTCTTTGGTTCTCTTACTCACCACTACGAGAAATTTATATTTGTATTCTTAATATATACTCATATGTCGCTTGTTCTTTTGCTTTCTCTTCTATATAAAAACAAACTACTATATTATTGTCATGCAGACGGCATGGATGCATGTCATCTTATTACTTAGAAGTAACTATCCGTTGACTTTAGTGTCCACGAATTATTAGCTGAACTGTTAACTTCTTTGTCAGAAAGGCCGATGGTTACTTAATCTACCATATAACATAATAGGTTTCAGACATTTTCCTAATTTATCTTTTACGAAACCGAAGAGAAGTAATGCGATGATAAACTTTTTACGATGCGACCACACGGCATAATAGTGTTTCATCAAAATATGAAATAATGACGAAAACTACCATTGTGTGTGAAAATTTTATTTTAAATGTTCATCTAGGCAATAAATATAGAGTTTATGTATGTTACGGACCAAATGATTACTCAAGGCATAATGAATATCAAGACAAGTCAAAGTGGACTACGTAATTAATACTAATTTAAGCTTCATTATTTACGCTGGTCTGGTCATAATCTTTCTTTACATGGTGAAATTCCTATGCATATTATGGAGTTCTCATGATGTTCTACCTTCATTGCATATTGGGAGGGTCATGAGAATGCTTTAACACACATCTGTGGTCCCACCAGAGCCAGCCGCCCCTCCTCGGGAGAAGACCACTTCTGCCCCATATCCTTCTCATGCAGGGCACACCAGAAAACATGTCGCATCTTCATCCGTGGCGTCCAACTTCACCCGCGCAATGGACGCCCCCTTGTCCGATGCCATGTGGGTGACCGAGCCATGGTTACTTAGCCCCCTCCCCGTCACGATAAGGCGGGCACCGTTCGGGGGGGGGGGAGAACCAAAATTATCTCTTTATTACTGTGCCCAATAAGTTACGCACTTTGTTTATAAAGGCCGGTCAATTTAATTATTTCTATAGTTTTATCATATTGCCCACTCATAAATTATGAATAATGTATCTTAACATACCATACATTTATGTATATAATATAATCTACACATATAAATCAAATTTAAGTGTCTATCTGTAGTATGGAAAGAACTGACTTTTATTAAAATCAGGGGGTTAAATTAATGCTGTTAAGAAATAAATAATTATTTTTGAAATTTTTGTTTCACTGTCATTCGTCGGTCTTTCTGTCTGTCTGTCTATCCGGGCTAATCTTCAGAGTGGCTCTTTTTTGCTGAAGCTTTACGAACAGAGAAATAAGAGGAGGCCTGTGCCCAGCAGTGAGACGTATGCGTATAGGCTGTAACCTTACTTTTTACTTTTTTACTAACATATTTACCTATTTAGGTTAAATTTTTTCTAGTTAGGTAATCATTTGTCCAAAACTGGATGATTTGTTTTGAAAAGATGAACAATTTATAAATGGTTTCGGATTATCTTATTAAATAGAAGTAATGTCACGTTGATAGACCCTATGCAGGCGAAGCCAGGGCAAGTCGATTAGTATATAAAAATACACATTTGTTAATGTTTCACGTATAATGCGAATATATTTTTAAAAAAAAATGTTTATATTTTTGTTTTTTAAATTATTTGTTAAAAGAACACCGCAAAATAATTTAAAACTTTATAATTTTAGTTTTTAATTTTAAAATTCGTCAATATACTTGGTAATAAATATATTCCTAAGACATCACCTCGTTCCATCAATTCAATATCTTGTTAAAATATATGAGAGCATGTGCCTTATACTGAATACAAAATATCGTAGCGTCATTTTTTATTCACGTGTTTTATAGATCGTCAGTATAGCTCTTAGAATATTTAGCTGGAGTGAGAAAAGTTCTAAAACATTGAAATGAATAAAAAATCAAAAAAAATGTGCGCGTTAATTTTGATCACGATAACATTGTGAAATAATGTTTTATAAATAAGAAAACCATTAAGGAAAATATAAGTTGAGGAAATTACAGATTTGCCAACGGACAAATCGATGTTTGGTAATTTATATTGCTTTCGTAATGTTCTTTATCACGCCATGAGAAATTTTAATATTATCCTTTCATCGCATGTACCTTGATTTCACGTTTGTTATATGTATATTCAAATATATATAATATCATATAATATTCATATATATAAATTTTTTTGCATTATTAAGCATTCCTTCAGAATTGTTTAGTATTATCATTTATTAACAATTTTGCTAATTATTAACCGACTTCAAAAAACGAGGTACTTAATTCAACTGTATGTTTTTATGTGTGTAACCTCATCACTTTTTTTTAAATGTACTTTTTTAAAAATTTTTTGTTTTAATTTGAAGATTCTTCTATTATTTGAAAGCTGGTGCTTCTCATGTGTTCCCATATAAATTTGATCAAGTTCTGAGCAGTAGTTTTTGACTTATCCTTAATAATTTATATTACAGTCGGTTGTACAAAATTTTTTATTTAACCTTTTGTTTTATTTTCTAGTAAATATATTATTTTTGTAATGGTGGCTAAAAACTAGGTCTCTAACATGATTTTGTCTCGTGTGTATTGTCAAAGTTGTTTTAAGGTATGAGTAAATGGTTGTGAAAATCAATGGCTGTCGGAATAACCATTTAGTTTACCGTAATTGTTACACTGATACTCCTGTTAAAAGTTAAAGTTAAAGTTAAAGTTGCAGCCTATATACACGTCCCACTGCTGGGCACAGGCCACCTCTCATATCTGAGTGGGTTTTAGGACAAAGAAATTTCCGCCGCGCTGCCCCAATGCGTGTTGGCGAACTACACATATCTTCTAAATATATTTTTTTTCATATTTGTCAAACATGCGGGTTTCCTCACGATGTTTTCCTTCACACCGAGCACGTGGTGAATCAGCACTTAAAATTTGCAATTAACGATTTCATTAGTGCCAGCGGGGATAGAACCCGGGTTTCTCTGTGAAATTTACAGCAAGCGCTAACGATCTGAGCTACCACGGCTCTGTTACTCCTGTTACTGATACAATATGTTTATTACTGATACCGCTAATACGCTTGTAAACTTGTGATTACGAATAATATTTTTAGACCTTAATTGAAAATAACTATATATTCTGCATATAATTAATAGAATCAGGCGTTACTTTGCGGAAATCCATTATATAAAAGTGTAGTGGTGTTGGGAGTAGCGGTGCTGGGATTAGTGGTGACGGGGATAGTGCACGCAATTGAGGGAGGGTGGGAGGTGCTCTTCATATTAGGTAAGACACATAATTTTATTTTATAACGCGGAATATTTGCGAAGTAAATTTTTCTAAAAGCTTTTATATATTCGGCATTTGATATTTGCAGTTTAAAATAAGTGGTTTGAAAAAATAGTGCCATGTTTAATAAAATTAAATTAAATAACAAGTAAAACAAAAATTGAATATATAAAATTATAACTATTGGACATAAATAGTAGTAGTAAGTTGCTATAAACATCGCTATATGGCAAGAAATATAGTCTTGTCTTAGATAAACTATGTTCAACCACAATCACCCTGGATGAAATATTTTATTAAAATAAACTTTTAATATAGGGGGTTGGAAAAGTTGATATATTAAAACTCCTGAATAAGTCGCCAGACCGAAGAGTCACTTCGTTACACGCCAGCGCAGTGAGGATCTGTCAAGATACACCCTTAAGTAGTGTGAACTCGGCATTCGTAGAGTGCGGACGAAATTCGCGTCTAATTCCAACATTGTTGATGTTTTATTAAGCCAACACGTTTCAGTTGTAATGGGTACGGTTCTAAAAAGTGTTCTTTACAGTGAAAGCGTGACTTAAGCTATAAACGACGGTAACGTAGTATTAGGTACGTGCTTATTTGGAATTTTTCGGATATTGCAAAAAAGTTTTCTTGTGTTATTTGTAAAGAGTTTTTGCGATAAGCTTGGTGATGTACGACGAAAGTTTATACCACTGCACTGTGAGTAGAAATTTTTCTTCCTTTCCAACCGTAAGATTACACGTTTGTATTGTTGTTGTGTTATTATTACATAAAAATCCTGATATTTTCTTTACAGTAAGTATAATAAACATAATATGATTTTGAGTATTTTTTAATTTAAATTCTATACCAAATTTAATTTAAAAATATATGACATTATAAAACGTTAAACAAACCTAGAATGTATTTATTTGTAAAATAGTGCTACTAGTTAGCTTGACACAACTTGTATTCTGTTGAAATTTTGTAAAGCAAGTTTATTCGTTCTTACTACAAAACGTAGTATATCGATAGTATCACGTCTTAAATTAAAAAAAAAAAACATTTATAACTTTCTTAACCTTTAGCCCGGGATTATCATTAAGTCGCGTTTTAAAATAACATCAAATATGTGCAATAACTGTGACATTTTTTACACGAATGCCTCAGAAAAACGGTTATATTTATAAGGGTGTATGTATTTCATATAAATTTATGTTTATTTTTATCTTCGTTATAACCTAGGAATTACGGATTTTGAATTTCGAAGCGGTTGTTAGCTAAATTTCATCTGAGGAGTTACTTCATTTTACAGTAATAACAATTACATAAAGGTTGAACAGTTTTGGAGAGCTTGATACACCCTGTCTCACGATACATTTTAACCCATATACGCGTACTTCGGAATAAGAGCCATCCCATTTCACAACACTTTTCTGGTGCTCGTACCAGTGTTGTAATGACGGTATAATCTCCGTGGGTACACTAGTCTCATATAGCTTCTGCCACAATTTACCATAATTTGCAAGGTCAAAAGCCCAAAATACATGCGAATACAGACGTTTTTCTGGCAGTGTAGTATTGAACAGTCTGTTAGGGGCCAAATAGCGTATTCAGTCGAAAAACTGGGCCTAAATCCAAATTAGTTATCATTTACTTGTACATGCTCTGCTAATTATTATCAAGCAGACTGTACAAAACTTTCGACGTAACAGTGGCCAAAGATATTGGACTATAATTTTAAATATCAGAGGCATCCCCCTTCTTATTTCTAATAATAGGCACTACAATGGTATTAGTAAGCTCAGCCGGTGGATAACTATATCTTTCATATCTTTTTTTTTAAATAAAGTTACACTAGGATTTTCTCCTGTATCGTGAAGGCAGTTTCCAAACACAAATTGAATAAGGACAAACATCCAGACCCGGAACAATTATTTGTAGGCCATACAAATACTTGTTCCTTAAGCGGGGTTCAAACCCCCCCCCCCCCCCACCCCCCGCAGCAACTCATTGCTATGCCACGGAGCCCTCATGACTTACACATAAACTATAAAACAAAGCAAGTACTCGAGGTAAGTGAACACCAGAATATTACAAGTTTTCAATGCTCAAACCATCATAACTAGTTGATTTACCTGTAACCATCCTTTGAATAGTGTCTCTAATGATCTTAGCCGAGAATCCAATCTGGGAGATACCCGGATATATCGCCCAAGCATTGCAAACCTGCTCAATACTAACTACTAGAGGCTCGACCATAAAATGCTTAAGAAATGCATTATTGACTTCAGATGGTCCGCGCACCCCTGCCACGCTTACAGGGAGGCTCGTCTTGTGATTTAAATTTTTACTATATTTCCATACTTTACTGAACTATTTTCTCGAATGACACTGAGCAATTTTATACATTTTTATTTGTACTTGACTGTCTTGTAAGGATTTAATTTGTTTTAAAAATATTTCTTGAAATACTTACTCAGTTTTTCATATACGTAACCAGGTCTGGGTTTACCATATAATATCCAATTTTTATAATGTAAACGAGCCTTACAGTGAGCCTGACCTACGTACTTATTCCAACCTGGTATCTTTTTGTTTTTACATTTATTATTCCCTATAAAATGTACGAAAATTATGGGCCTTCTTTAAGTATATATATTATCTCTCGATACATTTTGTCTAATAGCAAAAAGTGTCAATATTGTTACATTAATCATGCTCACAGTCACGACATTCGGTAGAGAAACCAATTTGACGTAGTTTAGAAATACAATAATCTAATTATTGTTTTATTTGTTGTTCGTCTCTTACAACCCAATACACGTTGTTACTATAGACCGGTGAGGTATTGATCTTAGGTCTAATTTAACTAATATTACACTCAATAAGCATTGGGAAGTGGTCCGATAAATATACGCCATACAATAAGAGGCCTTAACTACTATGGGCTTAGCCGCAAAGGTCAAAAACACAGTGATCTAACCATATTAGAGACCCATTAGCTGAGCTCGTAAATGTATAAGTATCAGTAAGTAAAAGATCCATATCAATGAAAAACCATAACTGAACAGTATTAACAAATAACACTTGAAATTTCGGTACCTGGATGAACAATAAAATCTCCCAGCATAAAAGCATTTTCCACTCCATTACTCTCAATAATATAAATAATCTCACTGAGATACTCCGTGAATTCTACGAGGTTATCAACACTATCTGTAGGCATATACTCGTTTACAGAAAAAATACTTGCAGTATTGCGTCTTGTGATGGATCTGCGGGTGTGCTGCGCCTGATTCGACGCATCTTGTGGTTCTGGTTGATGAAGGTATGCGGGTGGTGATGTCTGCTGGGATTGTATGGGGGAACTTGGGATGGTGTAAGCCCGACGATAATCTTATGGATTCTGGAGGGAGAATCTGAGGAAGCTCTCAAGGCTACGGCCGAAAGCCGCGCAACATGGAACCCATTTCCTTGAGGTGAGCGATCGGCTCATGACACGCTCTGCGGCTTATTAGAAGGGAGGTGATCATGCAATTGGTGGTGATGCCTTATACATCACGTCTGCAGGAGCAGCTCACGGAGTGATTTTTATGGCCAGTGTGCCTATTATTGTCTAATCCGTGTGACGTATATTCACTGTGCCTGGATTTGATCGTATTCTGTTTGGCGTTTACACGCATAGATATGCGCGACTTCCGTCGATGTTTGTGCTTACGCACTAGCAAAGGGCCAATCCCTCATTTAATGGTACGCCAGTTATTTTGCTGTGGACTACGGTCCAGTTCCCAACTTAACGTCCCCTTCGGGGGAAGCGCGTTGGTTGGTTGGCGCTCACTGCATACGGCGTGTGTAGAGCCGTGTGCCTCCCACACATTTTTTTAATGTGGTAGAGCGAAGCCCTTGTATTTGATAATTGATATAAATATTATGAGCCTTTTCAAAGCAGGAAGGAATGAGGGATTGACTGATGTGAACCTAATTAAGGTGAAATAGGGACAATTTAATGTTCTTAACCTTTTTTGAGCCTTGTAGCCTGAAGATGATCAATTGTGCTATATAATACTTAATACACTATTTCCAGTATAATGACCCAAATATCATTCTTAATGTATAACTGGCACACTTATAAGTTTTATAAGATGGCTAAATGATTAACAATCATGTTATGATAAGGTAATGCTTTTCTATTAGAAGCTGCAAGAAATTTTAAATCACGGACCTCTTGGTTCGTTTTACTATTCACTTAATTAGTATAAACCAAGATGGACTGATCTCAAAGTTTACTTTCATGTGAATAAAGTGCTATTTAGAATTTTGTGCAGATGATAATTAAAGTTTGTATACAAATAAGTGTAACAGGTGACAGTGCAGGTATTATATTAATTGCTAGCAGCCATCCATATTTGGAACAGTTTTCTGCAGCACTACGCCTAAAAATTATTTCAAATGAGAAATAACAAAGCCAGCATAATTTTCTGTACAGAAACCGGTAAAGTATTGCTGAAGGCGCTATGAATAAAGCAGCTGATAAAAATGTTACACTCATAACTGTTAACAAAAATTGTTACTTCAAATGGTTTTATAGAAAAACCTATTCCGCCATGTCATGTGAAGAAGCTATTATTAGAAGGAGAAGAGGTAAATTTGGTTTAAGAGATTTTTATTTTATAGGAGAGGGGGCAAATAAGCAAGTGAATACCGCCGTTCAGGAATAACTGCAACACCAGCAGACTTGCATGCACATGCGGTGGTCTGGCAGGCGGTGGCGCTCACAGAGGGCTTTATAGCCAGTGTGTTTATTATCGCCTAATCCGTGTGGCGTATGTACATTCACTATGGCTGGATTTGATAGTATTATGTATGACGTTTACACACATTGACATGCGCGACTTTGGTCGGTGTTTGTGCTTACGCATTACCAAGGGGTCAAGCCCCTTTTGGCTTTTGGTGTATCAGTACGCCAGTTAGTTTTGCTGTGGACTACGGTCCAGTTCCCAACTTTAAGTCCCCTTCGGGTGAAGCGAGTTGGTTGGTTGGCGCTCACCGCACACGGCATGCGTGGAGCCGTGGGCCACCCACACATTTTTTTAATGTGGGAGAGCGAAGCCCTTGTATCTAGTATTTTTTATAAATAATGTGAGCCTTCTACAAGCGGGAAGGGATCAATTAATAAGGAATTGACTGTTGTGAACCTGATACAAGTAGAATAGGGACGATTTAATACTCTTAACCTTTTTTGAAGACAGAGCTTCGTGAACGGCGTTCTTTAGCTTATAAAATACAACTTACAGCTTTAGAATGCTCTGTTGAATATTCATTCTTTCAAAAGACACCTAAAAGAACTTGGTGGGCGTTAAAATTGCCGAGCATCACGATTTCTGCAGATGGGACCTGTTGTAGAAAAGAATCTGTAGCCCTTTGGATGTGGTCGATAAGTTGGTCAGTTTCGGCATTACCGCTGTAGTGGGTGCGAAGTCTGTTTTTATGTGTATAGTAACGGGCATACAGATAAATAACACACTTCAACACTTATTATACTAACATATTTATTGCACAGAAATACAAAGTTACACCAATAATTATATAGTCAGAAGGAGAATGCAACACTTACAAGAAGAAACAAGCTTATAGATATAAAGAAAGGCGGAGAGAAGCTTAAGAGAAAATAGATAACAGGATTTAGTACACACATAAATATTTTAATAGCAAGCGTC